AGCTTATCAAGATTGTACGGCAGCGGAAATCACAGCATAAGTGCATCGTGAATATTCCCAGTGTGCAAGCGCCATAAAGTCTGTGCACAACAAACGTCCAACACATCTTACCTTAGCAAAGGTAAAATTCAACTTATTCTCGTGGTAAATACATTATTAGGTAAAACCAAATGCAAAGATCTGAATAATACTGTAGCCCTAATTTACGAGATTGCACTGAAATATCTCGTGCATGGCAAGAAGTATTTACCAACTCTTTTAGCCTACCGCCTACCCGAATCAAGGCATTAATTCCTGTTATCAAATATCAACAGGTTTTTTAGGAAGAAAAGGTTTGCCTGGTAGTAATCCTTCCAACACTCAGTAATATTGATAATTATTCGCGTGGCTGATATCCCACCCGAGGTTTTGAGAAGCCCGTGAGTTTTGTACTTATATTTATTCAGCGTTGCTCATGTTTTCTCTTACGTTCCAAATTGAATCGGGGGGAAGAGATAGAAAAAGAGGTGGTATATAAACCAAATGGTATTCGAGTTCCGATGCTAGCTGCTTTTACTCCTGAAAATGCGCCATCATGATCATTTCATATGTAAGACTCTAGCGTGAATTCCACTGGGGGAGACATGTAAGGGCAACAGCTTAGAAAGACCAGGTTAGGCTTTTTACTCGATTGTTATATGGACAATTTTATCATCGAATGACAACCGTAAACTTGACTTAAAGATCAAATAAATGTGGCTACTCACCGAATTTACTTCAGTTAAAATTCACTGTTGTCTCTTCAGAAGATCAGGCACACTGAAAGCGGTCAGGTGTGGCTTTGCCTGTATATAACGCGGAAATTTAAGGAGGATTTATGTCAATTGAAATGGCCATACATGCCGAGCCGAGGGGATTATAAGTCACCCTGAAGAGCTTTTAACTTGTGTTTCGGTACGACAAATATGCGCAAAATCACATGTCAAATTGAAAGACGAGAAAAAAGAAAGATAACTTCCTGTTTTAATTACAGTCCGTTTCCACAAACTTTACACGCTCGAGTTCCGAACCATATTTGGAAATTGACAAGTTGGCGGGGAAATTGCCAACTACGTTAAAGAGTTCAAAAAAAACTTGCCAACTTCGATTTGAAATTCGGAAGTTCATTTTGTGTAAACAACTTGCAAAACAAGTGAGCTATGAGTACCCAACATGAAGGTCAAGCGGTCTCGATTCAAACCAGAAAAGTAATTCTGAATTTCAAATTGGAGTTCGGAATTTTGTTTTGAACTTCGTTACGTAATTGGCAATTTCCCCGCCCACTTGTCAATTTCCAAATATGGTTCGGAACTCGAGCGTTTAACGTTTGTTGAAACCGACTGTAATTTGCGACTTCTTTTTAGTTTTTTCTACCGAGTTATACTATTTTATCATTAGATTGGAATTGCTGAGAAGATAAAGATTATCACTTGCCAAATGTCACTTAGTTAGCGTGACATGTTAGAACTATGTATGATAGTTGATGTTGGCCACAACCACCCATAAATGTAATATAATTCCGAACACAACAATCATTAAGATTATTTTTATACCACTTATAAGGAAACGATTAATGTAGTTCAAGTGTAAGTGAAAATTTTTTTGTCCAAAAATGCCATTTTCAGAAAGAACTAAGCCAAGCCTATGTTTAATCTTGGAAACAAGCATGCTGTATGAAATCTCTTGTCTGTCAGTTCGTGTGGCATATTTTGAGCGCCCAGCACTTAAAGAATCACTTCACAAAAAGCTCAATTCGATAATATATTAGCAAATTTAGTTTAGGTCGTAAAATCGGGTTCACGATTCACGAAGTAACAGTTTAAAGGTTTTGCCGTATTTAAGTGTTGATCGAATAAGTAGCGCACAAAAAATCGACTAGTTGAGCACTTTTAACCAACATGGGACGAGTCGTAGAACGAGCTAGAATGCTAAACCACTTTTCTAACCCACAGGCCACAACGTTGATTGACTAATTATGAATCAAGCCAATTGGACAGTACTTTATTACTCATGATTGTTCTATCTTGAGATTTAATGATGATAACAAAATTTATCGTAGCACATAACATACAACGTATAAACATGACACTGTATTCCCCCGCATGCACTTACTTTGAACTTAACAGTGACCCGTACCGTTATTATAGTCTGATTTTAACGCACTTTGTTTAAAAGACGGAAATCCCACTTATTTACGAAGTCATTAATGCTCCTCTGAACTAAAGAGGTGAAGAATAAAGGTAAAAGGAATTATCGCATTTCTATAGATTTGAAATTTTCTCTTTAATGTATTTATACCATGGTTAGCCTTAAGATATATAGATATATTTAGCGAATGAATTTCAAGAATGTTGCTCCCCTACATACTAACCCCCATTAAGGAATAATTTTATTCAGTTGTGGATAAATACTGAAGTTGATCCGATTTCTTGCCGTATAGTTGAGAATTTATCGAAAAGATATACTAAAGAGCCGGAGAATGATTGCTTAATTCACTGGGGTAGCCACTTTTATTGCGCAAATTCGTCAAAAAATCTAATCTTGAAACCATATGGAGCGATCTTTATTTTTGCATTCTTTTTATCTATTCTGTATTTTTTTTGTGCAATTTTGTCGCGTTTTAAGTACTAGTTAAAATAAGAGCGGCTGATCTGTATGGATATTAATTTTTACAATGCTCAATGGCGAGTAACAAAATTATGAAGACTTATTAAGATTAGTTGTATCAAAGTCGAGTTCCAATATAACCAGGGAGCAGCGCGGCAGCGTCTTCAAACAACTTAGCATCAAATGTGGTATAACAACTGCCTAAAATAGACAAAACATTTCTCGGCGTTTCGACCTGAGGGCCTTCGTCAGGAGAGTTAGTATTACATCACTAATTCATAAGACCTTCATCGAGAATTACAGATGTGTGCATGTGACCAAAATACTGCGCAACGATTGGTAGTTAGACTAATCAAGTATTCATGAATTTCACAAAGCTAAACACAATCGTGCAATATTATTCTCAATTAACCTTTGAAACAGAGCGCTTCGCCTGTCCTTTCGACAGCAGATATATTCATAGCAAGGCGCGACTAGTTCATGTTTGATGCATTCAACTACATTCATGAATTGAGAAAACTGGAATTCATTAAGAGAATTAGTCGAGGAACGCTGTAAACCGAAACGTGCGATCACATCTTGCTTCTTGCCAAGTTTCTTTTATCGCATTACTTAATGACATGTTCATGCAGTTTTGCATCATTTTGACTTCAACTGATTGTGCGTCGACCATTAGAAAGAACATTTTGACCATAAACGAACGTGCAAAATTAACATAAATTCGTTGGCACAGCCATTTTGACCATTCCCACGGTTGTGAAGGAGCTGGCGAAAGTTTGTTTTGTACTGATCGGTTGGTTTCACGACCATGAACATTTTCGGCAATATCCGGCGTTATCCACATTTCGCGTAGTTTGCGTGTTTGTTCTACGCTTACTGGTAAACAAATGATTCCAATTGCAATCTGTCAACCCGCATGCTTGACCTCGTGGTGTAGTTAAACGGATTATATATTTTTAGAGGTAATCGTTGCATACAATCCGTATTCGCGTGTTTACTTGTTGAGCGATACTGGATATCCCATTGAATCGAGGCCAAAACCAATGCATATAATCTACATTCCACTCTCCACAGGTTCAGGAATTCTGCTTTTTAATCCAAGTGAAACGAGACGAGTTCGAAATATCAATGACTCCGTTATTTAAACTAAACAACACAATGAATAAACTGGACTGATCTGATGAAATAAGCGCACTGGCTACCCGATTCTTTTTCCAAAAAGATAGCACTTTTTGGAAATTCTATAGAACTTTCAACATTTTCTTTCTTCAATTAAAATCATAGAGCTCAGTGATTGAAATTCAATATTTCCAACGACGTTTTGCGATTGCGATCGCAATTTACTTTGTTAAGTTTGTTTATGTGTGTGCGCCAAGATAAGATAGATTCGTTTTGCTTGTTATTTATTAACTAAAGATACTTGATAAGTAACTTATAAGGTTAATTAGAAGATCACCCTTGAGTTAGGAAGTCCGCCATCTTGGACGGTACAGATTTTTTATTTAATCAAGTTATACTAATGCGGTAATGCCTGATGGACGAAAACCCTGCTATAACCACGCTGTTTTAATGATCAAATGCTTGTCAAAGTTGCAACCATGTTTCGTGCTCATATACAAACATTAAACAATATAAACATGCTTTGGTTATGATGTCAAATATTTTGACATGGATAACCACGCTGTTTTAATGGTCAAATGCTTGTCCTATGTAAAGTTGCAACCATGTTTCGTGCTCATATACAAACATTAAACAATTTAAAAATGCTTTGGTTATTATGTCAAATATTTTGACATTGATAACCACGCTGTTTTAATGGTCAAATGTTTGTCCTATGTAAAGTTGCAACCATGTTTCGTGCTCATATACAAACATTAAACAATATAACCATGCCTTGGTTATTATATCAAATATTTTGATATGGATAACCACGCTGTTTTAATGGTCAAATGCTTGTCCTATGTAAAGTTGCAACCATGTTTCGTGCTCATATACAAACATTAAACAATATAACCATGCTTTGGTTATTATGTCAAATATTTTGACATGGATAACCACGCTGTTTTAATGGTCAAATGTTTGTCCTATGTAAAGTTGCAACCATGTTTCGGGCTCATATACAAACATTAAACAATATAAACATGCTTTGGTTATTATGTCAAATATTTTGACATGGATAACCACGCTGTTTTATTGGTCAAATGCTTGTCCTATGTAAAGTTGCAAGCATGTTTCGTGCTCATATACAAAGACACCAAGTGGCATGTACAGCTAGACCATCAGTTCCACAGACCACTGACACTTTATATAGAATGGACAGCGGTATATTTTAGTTTGGAAAATTTATGTAATATGCATTATAGTAGATGTGCGATTCCTGTATTTGCAAGTTTACATGACTTGTGATGATTTGACACGTTTTAAAATGCTATTTCGCCATAAACAAGATAAAGAGCATTGACCCAGATGTATTTTATCAGGAGGTTGACGATAAACGTCGATCGCTTCAGCTTTGTAAATGGTCGGCAATGTATTTTCACTAAACTATTTCGAATATCAATTTTCTACCCAGAGGCGGAGCGAAGTTGTTTATATATACCGAACCGATGCAAACATCTTTGTCCTGTGGCGTTACCTCGAACCGGTGTTGAATCACATGTTCATGGACAAATTATTCAAGATGAGTTTTCTTGGTTGCAAGACATAAATTGCTTTGTGAGTTGTGAGTTTTAATCTAATTATTTTATAATACAACCGCTGCCCAATACGTATTATTGTTTCACTTTGTTAACTGATAGCTCAGTAATTACAATGTTGTGTACACACTGGCCCAGTGAACTCAAATAAGACCGGAACGCTCACTCTCTGACTTTACCTCATTAATGATCGAAGCCAGGATGGCGGATCATGAAGCCTTTCTTGTAGGCCAATGGTGCGGAAATTTCAAAGGTAAAATTATAATTGCCGCATTTTAACTACCAAATGTCTGCGTGGAGCCCTGGGTCATACCAACAAGAACAGCTTCAGTGTACGCCATCTTGGCTTCAAACTTCTGACAGAGTGAGCGCTCCAGTCTTATTTGAGTTCACTGGCCAGCACTGACCAACCCCCCCCCCTGCCGAAAAAGAAGACAGGAAAGTTTTGCCATTTTCAGGAGCGTGAACTATAGGCATGAGGGTGAACCATAGGCATGAGAGTGGACCATAGGCAGGAGCGTGAACTATAGGCATGAGGGTGAACCATAGGCGCATGAGGGTGAACCATAGGCATGAGAGTGAACCATAGGCATGAGGGTGAACCATAGGCATTAAAATTTTCAACATCAGCATTACAACAAAAATTCACTACAACAAAAACTGGTTTAACTGCATGCCTATATAGGCACATTATTAAATTGATAATCAATGGCACTGTTGACTTATATTACTCTGTGCTGGTGGGGACTGAAGAGAATGCAATGCTGGAAAATACCTGCACCATGAACAAGGAGGAATTTTGTTTTAACTAATCACCATATTTGTTTACATTTTTTAGGCAAATTAATCCAATCAGAATGCCTAAATTTTAAATGCTTCACTAAATTGATACATTCTGATTGGGTTATTGAAAATGTAAACAAACTTGCTGATTGGTCTAAAACAAAATCCCCCCTTGTTTGCACCATTTCAGATGAGTGCAGATCTGTCCACAGACATGCATAGACTGACTGTGCACATTAAAATACCTTTAATTCTAAAATATCTTTTCTTAAATACCTTGTTATTGCAGGATGGGAAAATTTTCAGGCTGCCCCCTGATATATATTATTGCTGGTGACATAGCTGTGTTGCTTCCTATACACCTGTCACCTAGCATTATTATCTGACACCTGTTTGCATTTTATTATTTATATTTTAACCTGAACTTTTTTGCCATTGTGACACTGTAGAAAGTGAAGCAATTGGTGAAAAATGAAAACAGGTTTGTGTATTCTGAATTTCTTTGAATAACCAATTTATCAATCCTTGTCCATACTAATAGGTAATATAAGATGCAATGTTTTTATTAGTAAACCTGTGTGTATTTATCATAATTTTATTGTATATTATATAATATATATATCATATATTACCAATAATTGTAAATGTTTTTAAGAATTTGAGCAATTCTTTACAATTTGACTGATTTTAGTTTATACTGAATGTATTTAAGGTTTGCCACTGAGGTGATGCGTGATACAGTGCCTTTTCAGAGACAACTTGTTAGAAAATTTGAAAATTTAACTTACCGAAGTGGAAATTGCCTGGAGAAAAATGCATTCGTGGTAGGAATAGAATATCAATATTTGCACAAAACATTATCTCTGTCGACTGTATTGTTTATAAACACTTAAAATATAAACTACAACAACTTGGCCAAGTTTTCACGTACTTTATTTACAAACGTACTGTTTGCGTGAGCTCTCAGATACATGAAAATGAAATAGAAAACTTTTTTCATGTCAGTTTTATAATATAATAATTATAGTACGTGCGTGCTGATTGGTCTAGAGGGGTATTTCTAGAACTGTATAGACACACGGAAATTTCCCCGCCGAAATTGACGAGCTAAGTGATGAAATGAGAATTTTTAATCAAAAGAAATATAACGAAATTGTATTTTCCCGATACAACACACTAGTGCGTGTAACTGATTTGCATATTTATCATTTTTTTTGTATGGGGAATACAGGGTTCGCATGTGTGACCTAATTCACGAAATTTAGTTAGGTGTAAACTATATTTATTATTAATGGTTTCACAAGTTAATATATACGTAAATATTTCCTTATAGAGCTATGGAAACTATCTCTATTATACAAAAAGGTCGAGGAATTCGAACCTCTTGGTGCACTGTAGAAGACTACGAAATGGTAAAAGTCACTGAACTACCCCACACTTGATAGACTTTACAAAGTTTGTAAATGCTAAGACACACACAAAAAGTAGGATATTATATGTTATAAAATAGCTACTCACAGTATATGAGCTATTATGCCATCTGATTGGCTGAGCTAGTGACTGTTTATCACCTCATATACGGCGAGCAAGTTCTGGTTATCTGGTTAAAACATCAATACTGTTTGCTTTCGAAAAATACGATCAGCTCAAATAAAACTTGAGCTCATTATACAATACCACAGTAAACAAAAAGTACTCATACAAAGAGTAGGGAGATCTTAGTTATCAGACTTTTTTCCGAAAACCTCATTTTGTATATCTAAATTCAGTCCACGATTACGAAAAAGATAGTGGGGTCTACATATTCGTGAGAGCGCGTGAATTGAAAAAAATTCCCGGAAACCCTCCACCCATGCATGCATTCTGCTAACTGAATGTACATTCAATATCATCTTAGTAAGACGAGGGGTTATTAGGAGTTATTTCCACCAGAGGCTAGGTATAGAGCCGGACAACGCCTTCATTTTTTGTCACCCAATGCGAAAAACGATGGTGTATTCTCCTCTATATAACATAGAGGAATGGTGTACCATAAACAATGGTGTATGCTTTCTATATCAAGGGGCTGATGAAGAAATACTGTTAGACGAGTCGACCATTGTTAGTCTTTGGAATTTTTTTGAAGTACGAACTATGAAAATTTCTCCGTCTCAAAGGGTAATTATGTTTGCGTGCAGCTTTCCTAATGTTTAGTTGCGGATTTTTAAACCGCACCGCAGATCTTTTTGCATTAGAATATTAGTTCATTTACATAGACTTACGCACAAGTAAAAATTGTGTTAGTACGCGAAATTACCAATACATTTCTCAGAGAACCGCTTGCCGTTTGCGGGCGAATTATATTCTAAACGTCCTTCAATGTAACCGGCGAATCTTGGCAAATGACAAAGCTACCGATCAGTGTGCGCGGAAAACCTATATCCGTCATCACTCACGCGGACACTTTTGGCATTATAAACTTTATCTTAAGCACTTCAACTAAAATACCAATGTAAGCAAGTCAGCGTTGTTCTGATTGAGACACGAAAATATCTTTTTCTAATTTGAAAAAGAACGTAGGCAATACAAGCATTCTTAAACATCAGTAAAATAATAGGCTCACCTAATAACTAACTCTCCTAACGAAGGCCCTCAGGTCGAAACGTCGAGAAGTGTTTTGTCTATTTTAGGCAGTTGTTATACCACATTTGATGCTAAGTCACCTAATAACGCTTGTACTATGAACTATGAAGCTGTATAAAACGATTATAAAACCTCTTTCAATTTCTTTCAGTTTGTCGCCTTCATACTGGATACGTCAGGGATTGATACTTATTGTGGCATTGTGATTGACACTGTGAAAAAACCAGGACGGATTTTGGAACAGTTACCTTGCGTTAATTTGGGTGAGAAAGAATCTTCAGGAATCTGCATGAATAATCCATGAGCTCGAGTCCATAAGCTCATGGAATCATGGGCTGACTGAAACCATAAAATTTATTTTATGAGCCTAGTTTTGCATCTCTTAGAATGGGCTGGTGTTGATGGCGTTCTTTATTATACCACGTTCAATGAATTGCACCGAGCTGACAAAACATGGCGGCACAAAATCGGTGAGATCCCATCGAAAGATGAGTTGATTTTCGAAGAGAACGATGCTAGGTGAGTGGTTTTGAAATAGGCATAAGTTGTACGCACCTTCACATTTTTCCAAGTCTGCCACTTATTTCTCAAATCACAAAAGCCTTTACCCAGCAAGTTTGAGTGATTTCTTATTGTTTTAACTGAGAAATTACTACATATTCAATTGAATGAGAATATATGTACGTCATTACTAATTTAACATGCATCTATGCTGGAATATAGTTAGACTGTTTGAAGTTCCTATTGGATATTTCGTCCTTTGGGACAAACTAGATTTCTTAGCAAATCGTGAGATTGCAGTCTGCTCAAGGACCCAGGGTATCGATGAACCAATCATATGAAGATTGATGAACAACGCTCTTTGAATTCTGGAAATGACGTGTGACCAAAATCTGCGCACCCTCTATTACTACTAGGTTTCAAATCTGCCCCACCCGTTATTGTACCCTCAATACATTCTTGTTATCCCAGTTTTCATATTCCTTTTAAAAAGTTATTCGTTTTCATTCGTGTTTCAGGTTCTTTGTTGATGTAAGTTGTACAAAAGATCGTCGCTTCGTGACCATCAACTCAAGTTCGAAGACGACGTCAGAAGTTCGTATTTTTCAACATGATATTTTGCCTCCCTGGGGGACGATGGGTGAACCAAATGTTACAAAAATTATTGGCGTGTGTGGAGAGGAGAGGAGAGGAATGCCCTACGCCCTTCCCCCCACCTTTCAGATTTTTCTACCTCCTTTTTCTACCTCCAAAATCTCTTTGCCTGTATATTTCAGGTTTACATATTGGATTCAGCAGATACCAGAGCTTCAGCGCAACTTGTTCGAGCGCGGGAGCCTGGTATCGAATATTACATAGAGCACTGTCGTGTTTTGTTTTATATTCTGACCAATTATCCAGACGGTGGCAATTATCGAGTATGTAAATTTGATTTTGTAATTTATCATCATAATTCATTACTGTAAAAATAACTAAACGTTATATGTTTAAGGTGTTATCGAAAACAGAGAAAGATTTATGTGAAACAGAGTGGAACAGCAGTGTGCAAAATTATGATAATGTAATGCTCAGTGTGTTCTATATTTTCGTTGATTAGTGCCTGCCTGTAATTTAATTCGTTGATAATCTTCTTGACTTGCTTATTTTTCGTTTCAAAACGCTTACCGGCGGATTTAAGCCAAAGTCGTTACTGTTTGGTTTTTTTTCAGGTCGTCTTGGATGACATGGACATATTTTCTAAATATTTAGTCCTTTATGAAAAAGAAGATTTAACTCCAAGAGTGAGGGTATTACCATTGCTTGGAAAGAACAAACAATATACTATCAAGGTGGGTTAGATGTGGCTATATCGACATCTCAGGCTCAAAGACGCATTGGATAGCAAATGCATGCATGTCTCAGATTGTCTATTTAATGACACGAAGTTGTTTTGACAATCTGTTTTCTTCTATATAGTTTGATAATGACATAACTTTGCTTACTCCTGGCTACAATGTGGTAAGTTTTATTTAGAGTTAACTTGCGGAATTCGTTCCTTAAAACGAGTAGCAATATTCATTGCAATATTACTACCATTCCCCGGTGGAATACTACTTTAATAAAGGTTTACCATTGTTCTGATAAAGCACTTAAACCAGAACAGTGGATTAAAATTTAACCCAGGGTTAGTGCTAACCCAGCTTTGAACAAATATGGTGCGTTTTTAGCAATACTGCCTTATAGGGCAGTATTTTCTTCGTTATGGGTTTCCGAAGGCTCCGATTTCTAGTTTCGTGTTTGATATGCATAAACGATATGTCCAGTGAAATATCAGATCAGCGAAGTTTTCTTTGACAATTACAATTTACAATATGAGCGCGAAAAGAGTAATTGAAATAAATGTAAATGTACATAATGAGCAGATGCGAATTATTTTGTCGGAAGATATAATGGCATCAAGAGGTTAATAGACAGCTATATAGGATCAGGGCGAATTCCTCAGACGCTTATTTTGGTGATGTATAGCTATATATATTCATATATTCACGTTCACATATCGTGGAAGCAATTGTTTCCAAAACATAATCATGCCGAATATATTGACTTCATTGACATGAATACGTGCCTTCATTTCATTTTAATCAAGTCCCATGGTAAGAACGATCGTATTAATTGTAGTATCCGTTAAGAAATATTAAAATTATAATTATTATAAGTTTTAATACCTCTTGTTTTAATTATTGAAACACTTGATTATATATATATATATATATATAATAATATATATATATATAATATAATATATATATATATATATAAGTCCTGATTAGTTGCAAATACACTGGATGTATTTCTGCTAGCTAGGAAGCAACGTACACAGTGACAGTGTCTGTAATGTAGATTCATTTTTTTTCAATTTTTCAAAATTTTTCAATCGAAAAGAATTGGTTTAGAAGCAGCTCGTGCAAAATTTCCTTGCCGTCAGCTCGCTAATAACAAAGAGAATTTTTAATAAAAAATGATCTATTAAAACGAGATGAAATTTGAAAAGGAAAGAATTAAAGTTTTGTACTTAAGAAAGTCCGTGCCGCGTTTAACTACAGCTTTTCCATAGCGACAAGAAAACATTAATTTTTTATTTGTTTTGCTATATAAAGCAAGTGTGCAAGAGTGCCTTTCAAAAGGAGCTCGTGAGTTTTGAATCATTAAATATGGGACCAAAAAATGTATTTGAACGTAGCCTTGTATTATTGATCCTTTTGGTGCAAGGTTTGGTCGGCGCTGATAAAACTTGCAATGCGTGTGGTCAGATACCTTTCCACGTCGAACAGGGAATTGCAGGCAGATACTTGGATGATGGCCGAAACCTAAAGGTGCAAAGTGTCAACACGCACTCGGAATGTTTCTCGGAGTGCTCGTTTGACTGCCGTTGTATGTCGTTCACTGTTTGTGGGAAGTCTTGTTACTTAAATGCTGGAAGTCGAAAGTTGGCAAAAAATTCGCTGTTGCTTCGGCCCGGTTGCCGTTACTACGATTTCCCAGTGTTCGAGGTGAGTCCATCCAACCTTGAAGAAATTTACCCATGAGCTATATCCCTCCAAAGTTTAACATACATTTCCCATGCACCAACCCATATCTATTCGAAATCGATTGTATAAGCAATCATTTCAAATCTCTAATAAACATCACACACTTAAATATAATTCAGTTAAAAAACTATCCGAAAGGAGTATCCGAACAAAATATATCTATGAGTGACACCGTACATGATTAAATTTACAAATATATGTATATCAATTTTCACCTAGTACTTAAACAAGTGCGGACGCTCTCTGTATAGTTTCTAATCGAGTAGCAGGAGCATATTTTTATAGGGCCTGCCTAATAACATAACGTGATAAAATTGGTGAATTCCGAACCTTTTGTTCTTCTAACAAGACGTCCATAGATGTTTTCAGAGTCATTGCACGTCATTCCATTTTTAGCGTATATGTGATTCACTACCCAGTCCGCCAAGAGTTTGCTGCCTTCCTGGATCGCCGTTGTGTTATAACGGAGCTACATGTGTTGTCAACGTCACTGACACCACCAGAAGATTCGAATGCAAGTGCCCAACGGGTTTCTATGGAGAGCAATGTCAAATACAAAATCCTAAAACATGCATGGACTATTGGAAAGACGAAATCAAACCGAAGTCTGGAAGGTATACCATTCGTGCGCAGGGCGAATCGTTTGAAGTTTATTGTGATTTCGACTCCGAAAAAGACATCGCGTGGACGCTTTTCGAGTCGTTTGATCTCCAACATGAGCACCTTCTTAACTACCCGTTTTCACAGAATCATGCAATACACGAAATTCGTTTCAACTGGGAGCTCTTTCGACTTCCTAAGTCGGTCATGTCTGGCATCGCTTCACGTTCGACATTTTGGAGGGCAACCTGTTCATACTCTGTGTATGGCATTGACTTCAGGGACTACATAAGGGTGCGTTTATCGATTATGAACCCCCTAGAATACGATTTGAAAAAGGAAGCAAGAAAACGTTTACCTGTAGATTACTTCGACATAAAAGGCACGAATTGCGTTAATTGCACACAAACATTTATCCAAAGTAAAAGCGGAAAGCGAATGCTCCATATCGATCTCCAATTCAGTCGTCGTATCCATAAATGTAGTTTTGAAATATCAAAGGTTCGTCATCAATGTGGCGAAGTGCATGCAAGACTTCTTGGGTTTTATCACGAATGTTCAGATCCTGAACACCGATGCAGTGAGAAGATGACGTCCACAACTGAATATTGGTTCGGCACTACCAAGAGCGGAACTAAAAAGTAGCCGCAAGGATCATTAATTTTGATATTGTCCATATAACAATCTATAAGACTATAGAAAGTACATGTAGTAGCTGGAATTATAGATCTATTTGAAATTGTCCATGTAATCTTTAAGGCCGTAGAAAATAGCTGGGGTTATTGATCTACTTGAAATTTTCCATGCAATCAATAAGACCATGGAAAGAAAGTAGCTGCATGGAATTATAGGTCTATTTGAAATTGTCCATGTAATTTATCACGATAATATGACAGTTTTGGTACGCAAGGGTAAATCGGGGTCGATCTTATTTTCTTAGCCTTATAATGCATTGTAAATGTATAGTTGCACGGAGGTTTAGCTGGATATTACTCGGTATTCAGAATCTGTTATTCAACTTTTTTATCCCTGTCTACGTTGTTCAGTGTCCAAAAGAAAGGGTTATACCGCGCCTAGCTAAGAGTTTGCATTAAAAATTTTTTATAGTTCACCTCGGATTTTCTGGATAAAGATTTCAAATTTTAAACATTTTTCTGGAATTTATATATAGGCCTAAAGGAGAAAGAGTTATTGCTTTCGGCCTAACAGTAAATTGCGCTTTTTCGTTTGATCTTGCAATGTTATTAATATTGCTGTAATAATTAAAAAAAATGAACTCGATATTGGCGATATTAGATTTATTAAATGAATATATATCAACGCAGAGTGTGCATATAAGTTTTAAGTTATTGTGACTAAATATATTTCAAAATTACCCTTAGAAGTGTTTTTGACTGTAATATTGAGTCCTTAATATAAATTATATTAGTGCTTTATATTTAATATTCATATTTTCATTACAAAAATACAGGGCACGAGACGCCTACTATACTTCGTTACCATTGCTACGAAAAAAACTGTATATTAAATCAGGAACGCTAACTCGAACAGGCTGTTTGCAAACCTGGTGACTGCAGCAAGAGAGGTCTAATGAAAATGAGTGCTAATCGTTTTTTCTGAAGTACTAATCGAAATCTATTCACATGCACAAGCCATTAATGTTCTAGTTTTTTTCGTGAAAACTGATGAAATTTCAATTTCACATGCATCCGAGGGAAATAAACGTAATTTTGGAATTTTAATTAAGTTTCATTTAATGAAAATATTTTATATAAATTCCTATTGATAATATTTAAAACGAAAAGTGTCGGACAAACAATTTAAACATTCGTCAAAGTATAAAAGGGCCCGACAAGTCGCAGCCTTGCTAAAACAACATGGTGGGTGGCTTGCGCGTATATGTATATATATATAAATATTATAATTATTGTGAATATATATATTATATTTAAATCTTTGGGATGTTTAACTCTATAATATTTACATAACTCTTCAATAGAATTTTCATTCATCTGTGGTTCAGTTTACAATCTCGTCAGCAATCACTCCACCCAGAATGATGGAACTAGATTTACAGTCAGGAAGAATGGTATATATTGCATTTTTTGTTTTTCCCACGTTATAATCAAGAACATTTTAATTTAAGAAAGTTGCATGTACACTATATTACACACAACTTTGTGTGCAGAAAAAACTGCCTTTTCACCATGCAGTAATTATATTAATTGAATCAATTGATAATTTTCATTTATATTTGCTTGAAAGCTTGTATGCAAGCTTTTGCTGAGTTTTTTCCTCTGCCTACTTTTAACGCAGAGGAATTTGTCCGCAACATCGCTGGAAAATGTAGGAAAAGTCCCAGATGTACCTCTGTGTCGTTCAAAATTATTAGCAGTTAGCAAGGTAAATGGTTCGAGAGACCAAATATGAAATAGCAAAGTCGGAATGCGTGAAAGCAAGAAAATGCGTAATGCGCAGCGACCTATCTTGTCTGCATTTACATACAATAATGTACAGAAAGTTGTTTTTCTAATTGCATTCAAACGTCAGTCATTAAGTGCCTATACCTACCGATTAGTAATATCGCGGATTGTATTTAAAATAATAGAAGAATTCGAAACAAATAGTTAAATGGCGTGTAATCTTTTAGTTTATACACTCTAGATTATCATTCATTTCCATTTATGTTTATTTCCATCCGCTTTCTGCGAACATGGTGTGTAATTAACACTTGTATATTTAAGGATGGCAAAAAGGTTCCTGTAACGATATTTCACAGAAAGGACAATGATTTAAACGGTCAACATCCTGCCCTGGTGCATGTTTATGGTGAATATCCTTATTATCATTGGCATGTAAATCATGATTTAAAAAATGCCATATGTAACACTATATTGAAAGATAAACAACATCTGCATGTGTACATTAATTATTATCGCAGCGGATGGTTGATAATATTGATAATATTTAAAACGAAAAGTGTCGGACAAACAATTTAAACATAAGTATAAAAGGGCCTAACAAGTCGCAGCTTTGCTTAAAAAACATGGTGGATGACTTGCGCGTATATATTTTTTATTCATTGCTATTTAAACCTTAGATTCATTGAAAAATTTCCTTGAATTTTTTCAATGAAATAACGTTATATAGATTTAAACTTAAACAGCTTTTTAGTAACCATGCCGGCATGTCATCGGCTTGAGAGCTTCGCTTTTATGAATCTAGGGCGAATTCTTTTTTGATAAAATTATAGAAAGGGTACAAACCTTGCTTGTCTTAATATTAGGGTCTTATGGAATGAATGTCAACATGGAATTTTCTCCCGAAAAACTTCACCTTCTAAAAGAAGGCTGGATATTGGCATACTGTCATGTTAGGTACGTTATATGACCGCTTGGAAAAAATAAATAATTATTGTAGTTCAATATTTCAGTCGAAGTTGGAGATCATATTAAAACTCGCTGAAATTAGCTTACTCTAACCGAAAACGTACCAAGTATATCTAATGCAATCATTGTTTTCCTTCTGTTTTTTGTACATTTTAGAGGTGGAGGGGAACTAGGCCGAAAATGGTATCACACGGGAAGGGAAAAAAATAAGAAAAAAACTTTTCAGGTATCTGAAACTCTTGCGTATTTTTCTGTATTTTTCTCATTGATATCATCTTCATAAGAGTTTAAAATAATTGTGATGCCATGACACGTAATTTTTTTCTTACTCGCCGTTATTTCTAACCAAAACTGTAAAAGGCTGACAGCCGACTTATAAATAATTATTTATAATTTAATATATTTTAATTTGGCGCGTTTCAGAATTTCACTCATGTCGCTGGTGTATACATTACTTACACTGGTATATTCTGTGAGAACGCATGCAACTCTTCTTGTTTTTCTTTGCCCACAATAGTGGTAAATTTATACAATCCCAATAAACTCTCTTGCAAACGTTCTCTTTGACTCTGCGGTACTTGATTTGTTCCAAGGATTTCGAAGCTTGTGTGAAGGCGATTCATGAGCACGGATACTCATCTCCTCACTTAACCGCCGCTATTGGAACAAGTGCGGGCGGGTTGCCTGTAGCTGTGCTCTGTAATGATACTCCACATCTAGTGAAAGCCGCGGTATTGAAGGTATATCATTGTAGTTTTATCGCTAATGTTAGCAACTGACGATTATAGAGCCGCGTATTCTTTTGTATCCTGTCACGTTGTGTCTAATCGGTTATCTCCTATTTCGTTTGATTATATATATATATATATATATATATATATATATTAATATAATATATATATATATGATACTCCACATCTATATATATATATATATATATATATATATATATATATATATATATATATATATATATATATATATATATATATATATATATTATATATATAATCCACTCTTATACCAATGCACAATAGCTACTATATAATAGTAAGACTTTAACATAAAGCAATGAAAAGCTATCTGTTTATCGTGTGTTTCTCTGTATACTCTTTAGTTGTATTTTTTGAACAATTACATGCACTCTTAGGTTCCTTTTGTGGATTTAATAACTGCAATGTTGGACGAAGGGTTGCCATTAACGGCCCAGGAATACGAAGAGTTCGGGAATCCGAGGTAGCAATTTTTAGGTTGGATAATTATAACATCTGTATAAGAAAATTAACAATCTGTATCAAACCTCCTTTGATAATTGAGGGGGAGTGTTCATATTTTCTGAAATCGTTTGAGTAAAAATTAGTAGTTCTTCGCTATGTCGTGGTAGATCTCATGGCATACCTGCCTACCGCGCATTTCTCGAAATATTCTTGTTAGTTATATATAAATTTTGTGCTGCACTCTTTGTGTACGTATAAAAATAATACTTTTTGTTGTTAGGATTGACGTGCAAGATTTTAACAATTTGAAATCATTTTGTCCCTATGTGAGCATTTCAAAGCAGGTAAATCATATGAATGCACCGGAATGTTTTGCTATAAGTCTATAATTTATGCCATACATATGTGATTATATATGAGCCTGATGAAGTGTGATTTTTTATTTTATACATATCATTAGAAATATCCCAGCATGCTTTTCATGCCATCGATGAATGATGTCCGGGTTCCATATTGGATGTCCTTAAAATATGTATCGAAACTTCGACATCTCAACTCGATCACGAAATATTATGGTCCGCAAAATATGATCCTGTTAAAGACAGATTTGGAAAGCGGGCACTTTGGCTCAGGCGCATCTGAAGAGGTACGTTAATTGTTTGCACATTTGTGAGATCTAAACCCCTTTTACATTCCCCGCTCGACTTATTAGCAGGACATGGCTAAAATTAATTAACGGCCAGGCTACCATAAAAAGGCTAAACATTGATGAAAATGGTACAGGTAACCAATGAATTGTATCAAGTGTAAACGGGGCTCTAACTTTACCTTTGTACCATTTTGCCAAGAAAAACCTAGGTTTCTGTTCTTGACTTTTTTATCATCTTTCCTATCGCTTAAAGCTATGTAGGCCTATTTTTCATTTTAGAGTGCTTTTATTCTTGCATTTCTGTACAAAGCTCTTGGATTGCCTTTGAGATGACATCTTTTTCATTGGATCTAGGAATATGGTTCGTAGTAGGTCGTATAATTATAGCCTGCCAATAATGATCATTTTTACACGATAGATATTTTTGGACGTCTTTAAAATATAATTGATGAAATCATATATAAGTACAAGCAAGTCGTAAAATGCAGATTGCTTTTTATATTTCGATCTTATCGAATGCTTCATAGTCGTCAGACCGACTGATCTATCCAGAAAATGCAAATTATTGTAAACTTAAATTATTTATTCAAATGAATTTGTATTATCAAGAATTGCTCAAACCGCTTGCTCAAAGCCGGATGCCGCCCTGGCGGGACGGGACAAAAAAAATCCCCCACGCCGGAAATATAATATACAAGGCGAGATCCCGGTCATTGTCCCGTCCTGCCAAACGTCCCGTCCCGCTTCTCATATACTGAAGAGGATCTTAGTTTAAACACGAGCGTCGTTTTCCAGCGTTTTCAAAATTTTTTTGTTTATTTTAGTGTTTTGGCGCCTTGTCCACACGATCCAGGGCAAAAGATGCCCAATGTATTAAATTACCTTTAACTTCTATTATAAATTGACCGTGTTTGAAACCGTTTTGGCATGAAAACGAATGTGAAAACGCTCGAAAACGATACCATGTGCACATAACTTATATTAAGTCCGTCGCAAATATACCACATACCATTTCCTTCACTATTTCTTTCCCGGTCAAGGATATACCACATACCGGTATAGTCATTATTTTTTATGCGTTGGTCGGGTATACCATGCACGGTATATTCGACCCTTTCTGTTCTCTATACCGGTCGAGTATACCACATGCCGGTATATTTGAGCTTAGCTATTTTTCGTATGCCAAAACATGCTGTAGTTGGGCAAAAAGGGAGCACGTCCCATCACTGAATGCTCTGTAACCATTGCTTAAAAATTTTAATAATTAGACATAAGCAAAATTTTCTGAAAGATTTCTGGTAAGGGCCAATTTACCATGTTTCCACTTTGATCTACGGAGTTGCTTGTCATCTTTAGCAGTTTCCCCACTGCCTTATCACAGGGTCGTCTCCGATAATGCACAAACAGGCTCTGGTTTACCTCATTCGGGCCTATACTAACCTAGTTAATCGAACGGATTTACCCAGTTCACCTTGCCTCACGATTTTTTTCTTAAAACAAGTATTTAGCTTACCGACAGAGGAGGTTGGACAGCAGGCCGCAAAGCATGATGGGTATTGAGCGCTCAATTATGCGAACGCTTCATTTGACGTTTTGACTGTCGTGATGTGAAGAGCTCTGCGAGTATAGGAAAAATGGATGCTTTCGAAAGACAGGATTTTCAAGCTGCGATAGTGCAAAATACTATGATGTATATGTATTGTTGCGATCCGCATTACGACTTATCTTTTACTGTACCGAGTTTACCGTTTTTTAAGCTGCATGGGCTTTGCTGCCATTTCGCCTTTCATAATACTCCGTCTGAAAGAAGACTTTGTATTATACCAAACACCGAAGCACTGCTTTCGAAGTTGAATGGCCTTAAATCTCCTTGTGTCATCAACGTTAAAGCAAGTACTATATTTGAGGTTAGTATAAAGTACTTGTCAACACCTCATTTTTTAATATTTTTTATTAACTTTTAAGGCTTGATTTGTGTATTAAAATTTAACTGAAACTTTTTTTTAGTTTGGTACTATCCCTGATGAATTTATTCATTGTAAAGCGGAGAGAATGCTTTTAATTTGGGATTTTGATGTGGATCGTGTATTGACAGAAAATACGAGCGCTGTGGATGCGGTTACTCCTGATTTTGATGACATCGAAATTAATAATGAGGACAGTGAAGAAGATGAAAGTGAAGAAGTTGAAAGTGATGAGGAAGAAATCACTCATGCTCTACCATTCAAGTGCATTGGAGCTGCTCATGAACAAAGTTACCAACATCATCTGGAACAGGCATATCTTGCCCTTGAATATAATGAATCAGTAAATGTTAGACTAAGACCAGAGCCGGAGAATCCTCGGGACCAAAATGCAATTGCTATTGATCTTCATTATGGAACTCAATGGGAAAATGTTGGATATATAGCTTCTGAACATTGCAAGTATTTACATCCACTGATTGCAGCAGGAGATATACTAGACGTCTATGTTGAACACATCAAGTTTCGGGTTAACTTTTTAAAAATAGGATTTTATCCAAAAATCTGGATAAAGAGGCGTGGTAAATGGGAAGGTCAGATTGTAAGGGCTAGTATGAGTGTACGTTGACATATAATTTCATAAGAACCAGGGTTTGCAAGTTGTGAATTTCTGCAATTATTTCCATTGGCTAACCTATGTAGATTTTTCCAGCATTTTTGCCATCAACTTGTTTTTAGTCTGGTTTCCATATGACAATCAAGTTGTTGCATAATAACTAATAATGATAGATATTTTTCTTAATGGTTAACACAACACCCTGACAATGTTGTATGGAAACCAGGCTTTCTATTTTATATCCTCAAAACCTATTGTCTATAACCAAAGCACTTCACTGTCATGTGATATTTCATACAAACCCTTGCAGTATTAAGAAAATTAGAAAAATATTCATACAATACATGGTATAAATATGTAAATCTGTATTTATTGATGAACAAATAAATAAACTCATCAAATTTTATTATGGTTATAAAATATTGTAAGTAAAATTGCCTTGACAAAACAGCCAAGATTTTGCATTTATACATATATTTACATGATGTTCAAAAAAGTAAAAACCTGCATACACACACCATTGTTTTTTGTTTCTATGCTATTGTTTCTATGCTAATAGCATTTACAATTCATGCAAACTTGAAGATCAATTGTACTAGATAAGGTGTTCATGCCTTTAGCTTTTCAATCAACCTAATATACATAAATATTGCCAGTTCTAACACACAATGGCTTAGTAATGCAGATCTTAACTCACACTAACTGTAAACATCAACAAGCATCTAAAGAACAGAACCAATATAAAATGTCAGTTTATTTTACTGAAGAAGTGAAAACATATAATCACACAATATGTTTCATATTTATCAATTTTGTGAAGGTGGTGGTGGTGGTAAGCCTTCTGGTTGTTTGAAATGTGCTGATCTAACACTCAATTGACCACGTTGTGGGATTACAGCTAGGCGTTAGCGAATGAGCATAGGAGTCGTCACTGCCAAAAATGGAAATCTATATAAAATACAAAAAAATACTATTTTCCCGTCTAAATGTTAATAACTAAGGAAGTTAAACCATGAATACAAATAAAATTTACATTAATATTACAAATTATGTAGTTAAACAATATTTGAAAGGGAAATATCCCATTGACCCGAAATGCGCTATTTTGAACATCTCAAAACAAGAGTGGTAAATTCAAAGCCCGATATCTCGGAAATGGTGTGGGGTCGCAAGGGGTCGATCCAGCCGATTTTTTTTTTACATACTTAACTTCATTCTTACAAAGAATCTCAAAAATCGAACCACAGGAATTCGAGATTTTCAACTTTGAAAATTGTAAACAGACAAGCACATGACTCATCACTTCGGAACGACCCGACCAACTTCAGTTATAAAAATCGACTTAAAAAGTAACGCTTACCTCGATAATCTCGACAGATATCGCCAGTCCAATGAATCTTTTTTCAAAAAATATGCGTTTTAATCAGTAAACTTTAAAAAATATACTCAATATTTTTATGTTTCTCCGTCTTATGTAAATTTTCTCGCTCAAAATCTTCGCAAGCACGCTTGGAAAATAGCGCAATCTCATTGGTCGAGAAATTCACGTGACAGCTGTCCAACCTCCTCTGGCTTACCGATACAAAATTCGTTTTCAATGTCGCCTTGCTTGACCTTTTTTCGACATCGCATTGCATGCCGGGTGATTCAGAGACCACTTGAATTACACCCATCATATATGTATGGTAATATCACACGACAGTACGCCATGGTCGTTTGTTGTGTACGTCGAATCCTACTGAATTTTTTTCCCGGTTATAACAATTATAATTGTTGCTTGAATTTTTGGTAGTTTGAAGATCACTTTATCGGTGAGTTATTCCTAGATGTTGAAATATTTGTTGGTATTTGATTATACAAGTCGTAACTTATAGAAAAGCGACCTTAGCTTCGCCTATATACGGTGTGTTTATCAGACGCGGTTTCTGACATTGTTTTCTCGCTTTGGGCTGTCAATTCACAAGTTCTTCACCACACGGATTGTACTGCCCGCCGACGCGATACTATCGTAAACAAATATGACAGGAGGGGCTCAAAATTAGGTACAATTGCTGTTATGAAAATGCCTTTGCAAGTAGGGAATACAATGCGTCAATGCAAGAGTATAAAAATAGGGACGAATTTATCCACTTATGTATTTGACTATGTACAGGCAACAGTCAAAGTTTTTATACTTCTGGTGAATCTAACTAGAAATTGTTTTGCAAATATATTTATGCAAAAGACAAGAGAATAAAAATTCTGCCTAATAGTCAATAAAATTATGTCTTTTTTCATGAGTTTGCTATTTGATACTTTATTACGCCACATCATTTTATTGCAACACTGCTTCAAGTGCCAATGGAATGAATTTTTTAATTCCATGAACCTATCGTGTTTAATGTAAAAACAACGACTTTGAAAGCGCAAGCTCTAATAATCAATGGAACGAAAGTTACTAAAGACAAAATTTATTAAACAAGTAACATTGGCTTTCTGGATAAACGCGTCATATTACCATACCTGTGACAATTAGCACGCACAACTTAATACAGAAACTAAGTTATTAAGTTATGTAGTTATTCAATGAGTAGTATTTGTGACGATTTTAACTTTTCTGAGGGTACACGAGCGTATGAAAAACTGAAGTGTATAGCCTTGTCAGTATATGTAACGAGAGATGTAAAAACGTATGATCTCGTGATCATGTCTATAACCCAATATTATGTTAAAGTGACGGATTCATTAGCATACTGTCCGCGCAGTGTTAGTTGTTTAAATGAAGTCATTCGTATCTAAAAAGGTGTTTTGTTCTCTGGATAACCAAATAGAATTTCGTTCTTAAATTGTTTCGACCTATGCAACGGCCGCGCGTATTATATAGCTATTTTATGCAAAAAACAAGAGAATGAAAATTCTGAGCAATTCCTCGACAGAGTAAATTTTCACACTCCCGAACATTGTTTTAAGCTCGTGGGGGAAACAAAGGTAGCAAAAACCATGGACACCGGACAGTTTGAAAAAGTAAAGTGTTAAAATCTAATTTGGAATGAACAAGACATCTTGAGAATGCAATATAAGCATGATTCAAAACATTGCATCCTCGATAAAATTGTGTCTTTGATGAGTTTAGTATTTGATACTTTATTTATTATATTACATCATTTACACGCCTTTAAAATAGAATTGATGAAGGCATATGAAATTAGTACAAGCAAAATGTAAAATGTAGATTCGTTTCGATATTTCGATCCTTTCGAATGCCTAATAGTCAATAAAATTATGTCTTTGACGCATGAGTTTGCTATTTGATACTTTATTACGCCACATCATTTTATTGCAACACTGCTTCAAGTGCCAATGGAATGAATTTTTTAATTCCATGAACCTATCGTGTTTAATGTAAAAACAACGACTTTGAAAGCGCAAGCTTTAGTAATCAATGGAAAGAAAGTTACCAAAGACAAAATTTATTAAAGAAGTAAACATTGGCTTTCTGGATAAACGCGTCATATTACCATACCTGTGACAATTAGCACGCACATACTTAATACAGAAACTAAGTTATTAAGTTATGTAGTTATTCAATGAGTAGTGTTTGTGACGATTTTAACTTTTCTGAGGGTACACGAGCGTATGAAAAACTGAAGTGTATAGCCTTGTCAGTATATGTAACGAGAGATGTAAAAACGTATGATCTAGTGATCATGTCTATAACCCAATATTATGTTAAAGTGACGGACTCATTAACATACTGTCCGCGCAGTGTTAGTTGTTCAAATGGAATCATTCGTATTTAAAAAGGTGTTTTGTTCTCTGGATAACCAAATAGAATTTCGTTCTTAAATTGTTTCGACCTATGCAACGGCCGCGCGTATTATATAGCTATTTTATGCAAAAAACAAGAGAATGAAAATTCTGAGCAATTCCTCGACAGAGTAAATTTTCACACTCCCGAACATTGTTTTAAGCTCGTATGGGGAAACAAAGGTAGCAAAAACCATGGACACCGGACAGTTTGAAAAAGTAAAGTGTTAAAATCTAATTTGGAATGAACAAGACATCTTGAGAATGCAATATAAGCATGATTCAAAACATTGCATCCTCGATAAAATTGTGTCTTTGATGAGTTTAGTATTTGATACTTTATTTATTATATTACATCATTTACACGCCTTTAAAATAGAATTGATGAAGGCATATGAAATTAGTACAAGCAAAATGTAAAACGTAGATTCGTTTCGATATTTCGATCCTTTCGAATGCCTAATAGTCAATAAAATTATGTCTTTGACGCATGAGTTTGCTATTTGATACTTTATTACGCCACATCATTTTATTGCAACACTGCTTCAAGTGCCAATGGAATGAATTTTTTTAATTCCATGAACCTATCGTGTTTAATGTAAAAACAACGACTTTGAAAGCGCAAGCTCTAGTAATCAATAGAACGAAAGTTACCAAAGATAAAGGTTATTAAACAAGCAAGCTTGGCTTGCTGGATAAACGCGACAAGAAGCGTCATATTACCATACCTGTGACAATCGGCACGCACATACTTAATCCAGAAACTAAATTCTTTCATTTTATTGTATTAGGTTAAAATTTCAATGAATAGTATTTGTGACGATTTTAACTTTTCTGAGGGTACACGGGCGTGTGAAAAACTGAAGTGTATAGCCCATCCTTGTCAGTATATGTATACGAGAGAATCGGAGAGATGTAAAAACGTATGATCTCGTGATCATGTCCATAACCCAATATTATGTTTAAGCGACGGATTCATTAACATACTGTCCGCGCAGTGTTAGTTGTTTAAATGGAATCATTCGTATTTAAAAAGGTGTTTTGTTCGTGGGATAACCAAATAGAATTTCGTTCTTGAATTGTTGCGATAGATGCAATGGCCGCGCGTATTGTACCAAGTACCAAGAGTTACTGATCACATCGCTCGGTCATCGGTCTGGCTTCGAAGTTCGAACCTGTATAAAACAATAAACAAGACACTTTCTAATAGTTTACTCGAGCTAAAGGAGTGTTTTTGCTTGTGCTTTAAGACGGAGAAAGTTTATAAATGAAAGCAGATGTGCAAAAGCAGTTGTTTAGTTCGATCGAGACATAGAATATGCGCACAGACGTTTAATTTTGATCGCGCAGGTATACGCGTGCATTCGTTTAACTTCGATCAAGTTCACAGAACACGCGTTCCCTTGCTTAGTGTTGTTCGAGTCATCGAGCAGTGCCGTTTATAGCTTCGATCGAGTACACATAATATACATTTCTTTAGTTTTGTTCGAGCAAACAGAATATGCGTGCAGTCGTTTAGTTTTGATCGAGTACGTTTAGAAAGCGTACACAAGCGTACTGGGTGCGCATAATAAAATGCACTATTATATTACCCTTTGTATTAACGTAACGTGTCGTATGCGAGAAAACGTTCCCATTCGCAGCTGATATTGAGCACGAAGAAGCTAGAAGGTCGAATGAGCCGCTGACGTTAACACGCAGAAGCAGGAAGTTGAATGAACCGCGGAGCCAATAGGTTGGTCACAAATATATATGTCACTTGCGACCACTATTTATTTCGATTGGCCAAAAGGCCCAAAATTAAAATTAGTCGCGTGGGAGAATTGAGAAAGTTTTACTTACTGAATATTTAAAGAATATGCGTGCAAACATTAATTCATATATTGTAAATATATTGGTTATATTCTATCACATCAATCAATTTGACATGCATCTTCACGACAATTACGACTATACTGATGCCGTAGCAACTTTCTGTCGTATGAGTAAAAGTTCAAAGCCATAAATATCTATATAATTATATATTTTAATTACATTAGAGGGAAATTCGAATGTGGTCATGACTTTTTACGGTTTAACAAAGTTAAACAAACAAGAAGACAAGTTTAACAAGACAAAATTAGCATGTGACCGAATTCACCGTGTATAATGAAGTCGGGAGATTTTACACTTGATAATATCTCACCCGGCACGGCTTTAAAAGTCATTCTTTTGTGGTAAAGACAACTTTACTGAATATTCTCAAATGTATTTCACTATATATAAATCTCAATGTGTTATGTGATAGGGGACATTATAATTTCATTTATAAACTCCGTTTTCATAATGACAAAAACAAAATCAAATATAAAAATATTCTTCGCGTGCAAAAACCAGTCGAGGCCACTGACATATAATTTTATTAGATGGACTGAGCGCTCGAGGCCTAAATGTGTCCTCACCGTTGCTCACGTCCTCGCGTCGATGAAAATTACCGCAAACTGATATTTGTTTTGGCTTGTGGGCGGGCTTACATTTTAAAAAAGTTTTTAGTGAGTATCTTGGCCGTGTCGCAGCTCCTCGCAAGAATGATTTTCAATGGCTGAACTTAAACAGTACATTTCTGTCTCAACCAAAAGCATAGCTTCGTTCTTCAGAAAGCATAGAAAAGCATTACCCAATTGGACGAAAGCTTCCGAGCACTGCGACATGTCCCGTATCTTGTGCAAATTTGTGGCGTTTTTGACGATTTGAATTCGTAAGAAAGAAAGATATTACTTCAGAAATTCGGGGAATGCTTTTCAACATAGAAATGCACCGCCCATCGATCGCAGTAATGCAGTTTCGTCCAGATGTGAAAGTTTCATAATCTCTTCCTTGATTTCTTGATAATTTGCAATTGCTTCCTTTACCTGATTTAACTTTTGAGAATGATTCTCTATACCATATAAGTTGCTTGGCTTTCTTGCTGGACATATCTATATTGCTGCAGACTGTATCAATTTCCTGTCAGATTCAGTCTAGGCGATTTCACACAAAGATTTCAAGGTTTGTTTATCCAACTTTGTTCTGTCCCGAATTCCGATACCCGTTTTTTAAAATAACAAATTGGTAACAAACTGGTAATTGCATCAGTCTTCTTACAAAATTGTCTGACTGATATTTACTTTCCGGAAATTGTTTCTTGTAAACCTCGGATACTTTTAAAATTCCTTCGTTGTCAATATGTGCCGCCATGATTATCAGATTTCCTCATTCGGAGCACTTTGAAATGTGGTACCTTCATCAATATTCAGATTTGTACACTATACATATTCCCTCAAAGAGACACTGTTCACTTGTGAAATATACAATCCATCCTAATAGTTCTTGTCGATGTCACTCAAATTTAAACGTACAGTGGACCATGTTCCTCGAAATCCTGCTATACATCTCGCACGTCTTCGCTGCGTAACAATCCATCTGTATTTTGACCAGTCGGAGTGACTTGCTCTTCTGCGTCTTCATTGGATGAGGATTTTCTTTGACCAGTAGGAGTGGGTTTTTGCTTCACAATTAATGAAATCGTAGACTGATCAATAAGTATGATTTGTCTCTCAGCGACTTCACTGAATGAGAATGTACTCTGGCTAGTTGGGGTGACTTCAGTATTTTCACTGGTTGAGCATGTACTTTGATCAGTCGTTGTGAGATGGGATTCCTCGCTGAATGTACTTTGACCACCTTGTGTGGATGTCGAATCTCCAGTTCTCCTGCACAAGAACTGTCGCATGTCACCTTTTTGGGTAGTTGATTTTGTTTTTTCTTCTCCGTGCACTTTTTCACACGCAAGACTCTTTTTCTTCAGAAGTGTTATCTCTTCTTCATATTTTCTTTTCTTTTTTCTCAGGTCTTCCATCTCTTTCGACATATCTAATCCCTTGATGAAATTACTCATGTTAGCAAATCTTTCACGTTGTTTAACAGCGTAGTTAATCTGCAATTCAACCTCTACTAGATCTTCTTGGAGCTGTTTTTCTCTCTTCTGGGAGTTCTATCTAACATCTGGCTTAATATTTTCTTTTTGATGGCACAGGAGAAGAATTTCCAAATTCTTTTGATCTTGGCACCTTTTTCTTCTAAGCAAAACCTTTTGCATTAATCTTGCTTGCCTTTGTAACTCAGCTTTATCGCATAACAGCAATAGGTTTTCCATCGCAAGGGTAAATGTATCGTCATTTACGGCTTTGTGATAATCATCTGAGATTGTTTTTTAATTTTCTCAGGTTCCACTGAGACTGCCTGGTGGCTTTCTTTAAGCACTTCGTAAAATCAAATGCAGCATGCGTAAGACCCAATAATTCTACAGTACTCTTTGTACAAGGTATATCAAAAGTGTAATCCTTTTTTAAGCCGGACTTTCTCAAGAAAGTGATCTTTCTGGTGATCTTTTCCCTTCCAATGAGGGGACATTTGTTTGCTTCGGACAACACTCTACACAAAAGATTTCATTTAATTGGTTGGGTTGTTTAAATGCAATGAAACATCCTAATTTGCTATCGTGAAATTCTGAATAAACAAATGGATAAAAAGATATTAAAACTGCGTGTAATGTTCCAGGGACCACTAGGTAATTGGAAAAAATACAGAACATAACACTCCGTAGAAGTTTTGAAAATTTTCTACCGTGGTCATCATGCCAATGAACCCATTTCAGATGTTGTGATCGTGGAATAGCCAATAAAACTTGACCATTTCAGACCATGTGACTTGAAATGGGTTAATTTGCATATAAGCTGAAAAAGGTCTATTAATCTTTCAAAAAGTTTATTTTTGTGGACTTTCCATTGTTTAAAACTGCAATGCAGTTGGTGTTGCAACTGTTCGATTATAGATACACGGTATAACGTCATTTGTGATAAGAACGAAACAAAGTGGCCACGAGCCGGGGGTAATATTTACATAATCACTTCTACGCCATATTTTCCTCTCTCTTTGATGCCCCATTGTCTTGCCGAGTTACCATCGTTCCATATATATTTTAGCAAAAACAGATGACTAAATTTAGCTCAGACGATAATGCTCGTTATGTATCTACTAACTAAACCTCCTTCTTGATTGGTCACGTAAATTACGCAAAATATTTACACGGCGTAAAATCTTGAGCAATTGATTATTGTTTTCCTTGTTTTATTGTCATTGCAGTCAACATGTCACAAGAAACGGCAAACTTTATGAGACTCGCCAGATTATTAGTTGATAAAGGAACTGAAGCGTTGAGAAAAGAATTTGATGCTATCCATCCTCCTGCTAATTTGCCTGCGGTTCTTGCTGCCTGGAAAAAATCTCTGCTAAGGTTGAAGTTTGGAGTTATTAATAAGTCCCAGTGGGAATTACTGTACCCCCCGTCCGGCAAACCTCCAGATTCCAAAACCTTTGATATTTCATTACTCACAGTTCTATTCCGGAAGATTTGTGGTTTACCATCGAAAGGATGGGATGCAGTGCCTCTTGACACTGATAGGTCTCTGCAAGCAAACATAATAAGAATCAAGACATGGCGAAATGACTATGCACATGCGAAGGCAACTCGGATGGATGACGCCACATTCGAATCCTTGTGGGTGAAAATTTGTCAAGCATTGCTTGAATTGAAAATTCCACAGAAGGATATTGACGATTTAAAAACATCTCCACTATCACCCGAAATTAATTATGTGGAAGTTTCTAAAAACTTTCAAGAAAAGTTAGAAGATCTGAGCACTGATGTTAAAGATACGAAAGATGATGTTACAGATATGAAAGATGATGTTAAAGGTACGAAAGATGATGTTAAAGATATGAAAGATGATGTTGAAGATATGAAACGAGATGTTAAAGATATGAAAGATGATGTTAAAGGTACGAAAGATGATGTTAAAGATATGAAAGATGATGTTGAAGATATGAAAGATGATGTTGAAGATATGAAACGAGATGTTAAAGATATGAAAGATGATGTTAAAGGTACGAAAGATGATGTTAAAGATATGAAAGATGATGTTAAAGATATTAAAGATGATGTTAAAAGTACGAAAGATGATGTCAATGATATGAAAGATCGTGTTAAAGATATGAAAGATGTTAAAGATATAAAGCAAATCAAGAAACGTTTAGGTTTGCAACAACGATCCCAAATCTCGACAACACATCCCCTGAAAGGTGTCGACGATACGGATATTGAGATAAATCGCTACAAAGATGAAGATCTCTTGCAAAAACTTGCAAAGCATAATTTCGCGGGTAAAATAAAAGGAAAGATGAAGTATTTCTTTCCTGGTACAAGAGAGTGGCTACTAAAGCGCGTGGAGGATTGGTTTAATGAGAATGAGCAAGAATCAAAGCTATTGTTATTGAAAGCTGGGCCTGGTTTTGGGAAAAGTGTATTCGCAGCAAAAATGTGTGAAATTTTTAGGGAGAAGGGAAAATTGGCTGCTTGCTTTTTTTGTGACTTCCGCGATGCAAACCTGAGAAATCCTACTGCGATGCTGCAGTCTCTTGCAAGTCAAATGTGCAAGAATGTCGATGGTTTTAAAGAGAAGCTTCTCGATCAATTAAAGCGACCTCATAAAATCTACACTATGAAAGAGGCCTTTCGAATATACTTGCAAAATCCATTGGATGAATTGGAAGTAGCTGAACCCAGTTTGATCGTGATTGATGGTTTGGATGAAAGTGAGGCAAATGACAGGAGTGACATTGTTAGTTTGATTTCTGAATGTTTTTCAGAGCTTCCAGATTGCATAAAATTCTTGATTACAAGCAGGCCTGAAATTTCCATTGCCAAACTCAACGATATTCCTAACATCAATATTGAAAATGATGACGAAAAGAATGACTCAGATATTGAAATTTATCTTAAATTTTGCCTTCCAAAGCTGCTTGAAAGAGAAGAGGATAGTTATTCAGTTGTGTTTAAGAGGCTGGTCAAAATGTGCGAGGGATCGTTTCTGTATGCCTACCACTGTCAATACGAGCTGGGAAAACGCGACGACCTTGCTAACGTAACTTCCAATGAAATCGTCAAGTTTCTTCCTAAAGGCATAGGCTCGGTTTATGAAAAATATTTCAAACGTCTCGAAAAGGAGCTAAAGGAGCTACAGCACTGCCGTCTTGATGTGTTGAAATTTTTGGAAATACTAGTCGCTGCTCAAAGATCTCTCCCGCTCACTTTTGTCGCTAAGGCACTTGGATTGGCTCCAGATTGTCGCGAGACTAGAAGAATTATCGCCCAAGTCAATGAAGTGATATCGTGTTTGCTGTACGTTGCTGATGATATGGTCACTGTCTTTCATAAAACTGTTATTGATTGGCTTCTAGCACGAGGATACGAAGGCCATGATTATGTTGTTAACATCAGCGATGGAAATAAATCGCTTTGGCTTGTATGCGAACAAACATTTGAAGAAATTAAACGAAGACCACTCTCCGAATATAAGCGTGAGCTAACTCCTGGTGAAAACTATGCTTTGTATTTTGGCTCTGATCATCTGCTTAATCGATGTGATATGCTGGATAGCTTTTCATGGTTTGTGGACGTTGCTATAGTATGTGCTATTATGCATCATATTGAAGACTGTTATATCACATTGTTTGACACATGGAATAAATTTCTTTCTAAAATTGATAAACTGCGAGGAGGAACTGTACAAATAAACAATAAATTGCGAGCGCGGTTGAGGTGGCATCGCGCAATCTTTGAGGAAGAATTACAGTACGAATGGAAAACCTTCGTCTCTTATTCGTGTCCTCCTGAATTGTTATACTTAGAAAGAATCTTGGCACGTCCATCAAATGACTACTTTAATGATGAGGAGAAAACATTTGCCCGGTCAGTTTTGTCATTGTATGTTCCTTTGTTTGTCGAAAATGATGTCGATGTTCTTCCACTTGAAGAATGGCATGTAGAAACGGAGATTACAGCTGTCTCCTTGTCTAAAGATAAAACCACGGCAGCTGTTGCAATGAAAGATGGAACTATCTCACTAGTGTCTGTGCCAACATTGTTTGAGGAATGGCAGTATGAAACTGGATATAAGGGAATTTCATCTGTTACATTTGCTCCGGATGATTCGTTTCTTTTGTTTGGAAAACTCGAAACGGTGCTTGATATCGCTCAGAAAAAGGAACTCGCGTTTTTCGCCGAATATTCGGAGACCTTTATATCTTGTGCATTTTCCCCGAATGGCCTGAGGCTGATCACTAGCCATGGTTGCGATCCAATGAAGATATGGGATGTGGCTAGGAAAAGACTTATATCTGAACTCGAAACTGGAGTTTTTGTTAATTGGTGCACTTTTGACATTACAGGGCTGTTCATCGTCGCATTTGATAAAATCAACTATTTCGAATTTTGCAGACGTAGTGATTATGATTTTAGATTCAGAATTGATCCAGTAAAATATGTTGTTGAGGATTCGTTTTCCATTTGGAATGCTTTTACACTGCAACGATGCGATGAGCGAATTCTGCCGGAAATTAAGAAAGGAAATGCATTACGCAGTGGCAAATGTAAACGTTGTTTTTGGCCAGGAATTGCAAAACAACCGACATATGGAGTATGCAGATGTCCAGAAAAATGCAAATTGTTTTTATGTGTCCTGCCTTTTGGGCACAATTATCACCTTTCCACCGGAATCTACAATGGTGTCGAATGCTACATTGCATTGGAAGATGACTCTTTGAATGTTGTAGAAACCACTCATTTTACCACTCTGGCCGCGTGGGACTGTTTCACGTTCACCTTCGACAGAGATAATATGTTCAGTGGATATGAAGAACTAGCTGCGATTGACAATGATCATTGGCTCTACTCAAATGAAAGTAAACTGCTCGTTTTAAGGACGCCAGTGGCAATACCCCCCGTCGTCATTGTTTATTGGAGTTCATTCTCCCCAGATAGCTCTCGACTAGCAACTTGCTCCTCAGATGGATACATCAAGATATGGAATGTCGACAAAAGACAAGTTGAGCAACGTTTTAAAGTAGATCAAGGCGAGACGCCATTTGTTTGTTGGTTGTCGAAAGAATTCTTGTTCGTTTTCAATTCTATCGACGGGATGCCATGCCTTTGGAAATTTCCAGTGTGGAGAAATTCAAAGATCCTATTTACTAAGGGCGAACAACATTCTTTAACTTATTTACGAAACGAGTTCGTTTCAGCGTCACAAGTGGTTGAATTTTCTGGGGGCTTGCTCTTCCTTAAATTCGGGGAGACAGCACCTGTGAAAGTTCTTGATGTTAACAGGGATGGTGAACCACAAATAACCACTTTACCTGTCGTGAATATTTTGGTTTCGCCCGATGGTGTCTTTGTCCTCAGTATTGGAAAAAAAACACTTAACATTTGGAAAAGAAATTCAACGAACGCATTGCAATTTGATTTCTTTCTTTCCTATGAAAGAGTTTCAAAACCTCAGTCTTACTACACTCGATTCAATACGCTTTTTCGCTTTAGTAACGATTCTAAAGTTGTTGTTTTTTCAGAGAGCAAGCCATTTAGACTTAGTACGGGTGATTTCAAGCCCCCTTATGTACGTGAAACCGTAATTCTTGATTTAGTGACTCGTAGTCTTAAAAGAGTTCTTTTAAGTGATGACTCCTCTTATCTTAACTGGTTTTGCTTAAACAAGAATAGGGTTATTATCGCAACATCACTTCATCGTATACATGTGTTTGATATGGATTCTGGTGCTCAAATATGGTCGCCAGCAGGACAGAATTTCTTAAAGCGATTTGCGGAGATGAAACTATCCCCAGATGAAACTGTTCTAGCTCTTCCAAAATTAAATGGCGATATGAAATTCATTCGTTTGTCCATTGCACATAACGCTTTGCTAGAAGAAATTAAAAAAAACGCAGCTATCAATTGGCAGAACGAAATAACTGGAACCAAATAAGTTGGTGAGTGTGTCAGTATTCAAGCTATTCAGAAGAGAACTCATCGAACGAGATTGCTGATAAACTCAGCTGCTAAGACATTGATGATGTTACCTAACTTTCTACCGTCAACGAAATAATGAATAATTTGTAGCAAATTGTCATTGTCAGTTCGGGCAGCGGCTAGACTTTTGCTTGGAGCCGGTCTAGAATGGAGATGTAAGGCACCTCCTTTCCTCCGCTAGTCTGGGAGTTCACCTTGGGCAAGTGATAGCACTCCCTTGCCTCCCTGACTCGGGTTACAGTTTTTAAAGGGATATGGCAATAAAAATTATTTCTGTTTTGTTGAAAAGGAAGCCTATATAGAGCCTGTTTACAAAATTTGTTTATCTTTCTTACTTCGAAAGATATTAGCGATCAAAAACATCGGCTATCGAGATACATCCGCCATCTTGTTTTATAATGAGATCTAATTACGTGACATCAAAGCAGGGTTGACGCTTAAAAAATAACAACTACATGTTTACGCTTTAGTTTAGAACTCTAACAATTTAAACGCTATAATTTGAGATACGTGAGAATGTAATACCATGAAACTATCACTTCGCTGAATCGTTACAAAACGAATTTTCACCCAGGTTACGACGTCATGCATATCCAAGCAAGAATATGCATAATCAAGATGGCGGATGGAAGATACCTTCATTCTACAGGGTGTATCAAAAAAAGTGTCCCAAATGTAAAATTTTCGTTTTTTAGGATATTTTGCAGAATTTAGCAAATTTTTGTGTTCCTAGAGATAGTTAAGACTTATCTGGTATACCTAGGCCAAGTTTAGTTTTTCATTAACAAAATTATGTTACTGGGGGGGGGGGTGGTTCCTTTCCACTGATATTGAGAGGGCTTGCGCGCGAAAATGTGAAGCTGAAATTGAGATATTATTTAGCTGTCTAAAAGTAGGAAAGATTTTTAATAAACTGTCAAAGTTTCAGAAAAAATAATGCATACTGGGAGCAACGCGCGACCCCTAAAGTTGACAAATATTTCATTGCGCGCAGTGGATTAAATGCATCGTTGATTTTAGCGTGACCGATCTCATGCAAGGCTGGGCAAATGAATAAATTAAAGCGAGAAACTGAACAAAAAGACGAAGCGATATAATAACAATATTTTTATTGGTGATGTTAATCCTCAACATTTCCACCATTTCTTTCTAAGCAAACTGCGGCTCGTCTGAGCATGGTAAACACTGAACGGCGAACCATTTGTCTGTCCTGCCTGAAATTCTCCATTTTGTCCGAAATTCTTTCTTGCAAATCGCCTACGCTACCACCGGCAAATCTAGGCGAATGGGCAGACAAATGGTTCGCTGTTCAGTGTTTACTATGCTTAGACGAGCCGCATTTTGCTTAGAATGAAATGGTGGACATGCTGAGGATTAACATCACGAATAAATCGCTTCGTCTTTTTGTTCAGTTTCTCGCTTTAATTTATTCATTTTCCCAGCCTTGCATGAGATCGGTCACGCTAAAATCAACGATGCATTTAATCCACTGCGCGCAATGAAATATTTGTCAACTTTAGGGGTCGCGCGTTGCTCCCAGTATGCATTATTTTTTCTGAAACTTTGACAGTTTATTAAAAATCTTTCCTACTTTTAGACTGCTAAATAATATCTCAATTTCAGCTTCACATTTTCGCGCGCAAGCCATCTCAACATCAGTGGAAAGGAACCACCCCCCCGGTAACATAATTTTGTTAATGAAAAACCAAACTTGGCCTAGGTATACCAGATAAGTCTTAACTATCTCTAGGAACACAAAAATTTGCCAAATTCTGCAAAATATCCTGAAAAACGAAAATTTTACATTTGGGACACTTTTTTTGATACACCCTGTATATCTTTAGAAGTAATAAAGTTAACAAAAATCCAAGAAGTGATCGTTTGATATCTTAAATGATTGTTTTTGTTCCCTTTGGCACTTGATACGATATTAAATACTCAATAGTTGTCATTTGGTGCATGATCATATGATGATGGTAATTAGTTTTAAAATTGATTTACAATACAATATAGACTAGTTAGAATAATTGATTTAACTAGATTTGAATATTATTCCATATTTTAAAGACAAAATGGCCGAATGTCTATTCATTTAACAAGTTTCCAGTCGATATCGACATCCTAACTTTGGACCTCGAATTGGACATTGTAAATATGATGATGATGATGTATCATATAGATTTTTGTGATGATTTTTTTAAATAAAACTACAATATAGTGGAGAAAACTGGTGAAGTCGCATAGCGAACGGATCGAACCGAAAGTTTTTTCACCAAAGTATAGAAGAAGCTATTTTGATCGCTAATAGGATGACGACCATTTAGATCATTGATGTTTCGGATAATGTAACGAACAGTAGTGTGGGGAGGGGGAGAGAGGGGGGTTGTAAAATACCTGGGCTCCTCGATCTCTCTCTGCCTTGAGAACCGTAAATTTATTTCGTCAAAAGTATAAAACCAGCTACTGACTATTTTACTGAGTTCTAATTAGACAATGAACATATACAGATCATTGACGCTCTGGATAATGACTGGTGCATAAATTGAATGTTCATGGTAGTTTAGGATTACGAAGAAAATACAACGTTTCTTGTTTCGCCCGCGCATGCATCAATGCTCTGTTTCCGTACACTACCATCATCAGTTAGTTTCGGCGTACATTTCGATTATTTAAATTGCAGTTACATCCAAAACATCCGCTTGTGATTAACTAAATCTGTCAACTGTGAAAGAAGTCGTATAACTAGATTTTTATAAAATCGGTCCCAGGTATTTTGTAGTTGGAGTGGGCAGAGCAATCAAAAAGTTCACAATTTAGTTAGTTAACTTAGTTAATTGGACTTAAGTCCGTGTGAACGATGTCTGATGAGGTTCTTTATAGAGGCTGTTCAAGTTGAGTTAACCCTGGTATATATCAAACCTTTGACTTCACAGCATGCTTAGTTTCCGTGCGAGTCTTTTAAGCCACGTGAAGTAAATGTTACGAAGAAAACCTAAAAATCTGTGGACTATCTAGACTAACCTAAAAATCTGTCGGACACGCGGGATTCCTCAAATGAACAAACCCTGAAGTAAATAGATCACGCAACACCTTGCTTGTCCCAACCGAAACGCAGTGCATCTTAATTGCCTCAATCAACCTCTACTTTGTGATTTTTTAGCTATTTGCCTATTTTTATTACTCTAAACATCCTTTTCAGTCAGTGCTCAAGGACTCAAGGAAAGGTGTGTATACGTAATTTTAATGATTTTGGATATTCGTAGTCTTCTTCCAATTCATGATAATATAAAGGTATTAATAGTGTCTCATTGAGCTTTGAATCAGTAAATCCCGCGAATTTCCAGGTGGTCGATTAAGTTTATAAAACATACGATCACGATAGTGTTTGGTTTTGGTGGTAAATTCTAAGAGGTTGTTGGCATGACCTCGCTTAGCCGAGATTCAATTAGTTCCTTTTGGCCTGCGTACCAGAAATTGAGCGTGCCGCGTGCCAAATTTATCGTGTAGACGTGGAAGAAGTGTATTGGATTCGATTTGATTCGACACATGAAAAGTTCGACGACTGAAACGGGCCCTTTATTCTGTAACTTGAGAATTTAACTTTTCGGAGTAGCTAAGAAGATAATTGAATAACAACAGTTTTGCATTAAAGGCAATTTTTTTACTTAAACAAGGCCCGCATTACCCGCGCAACTGCAACTCGTCTCAGAGTGTAGGGTTCCCAGCTTTGATAGGATAACCTTTAATGAATTACCTGCATACCCCAAAGCTTTTAAGCTGAATTTAACGCCTTGATAAATGTAGGGCCAAGCGCTCTTCTAACATCACTTTAAAACATACGAAACCATGTTGATGAGACTGATAATATTTTCTGAAGAGGCTGCAGAAAAAATCCGGACCGTACAGAAAAATTTATATCGCATCCTGCCCGCACTTGTCCCGCGTCCATTCAATCATATAATTCAATGTACTGCCCGCGTCCGGCACACAAGGCGCCCGCGTCTTGCTATTGCACTACCCGCGTCCTGCCCGCAGGTAATAACTTCGTCCCGTCAAAGATTTTATCCAGTGGACGAAGGTCATGTCGTAACTGGTATAAATGTTGGAAGTTCAACTTAGCGTGTAATAATACATTAATATTATAGAAAAATACTATAAAGGTTGCCCATAAAACCCCACTCAATTTCGGAAAAACAATGCGTTGTGTATTATATGTTTGCCCTTGATCGAGTTTGTTTAGCCCTGTTGTATTAAATAATAGCAGCAACATACTTGTGTGGCAAATCTCCGGTGCATGTACGGTACCCACTAGACGCACTAAACGCTTTAGCTGTACCAAAATGACAACCATGACGAATACTTTTGACCATTTTATAACTACATTCTAATCCCGGTTGCGCAAAAAGACAAATATGATCAGGCAACAGCCTGGCACTCACCCAAACCTGTGAATCAGGGAGACATGTCATGTTCAGCAGATGTATCGTATACTTTAAGTCTAAAGAACTTTCACTTGTGACTCTGATGGTCAAACATTGGTGTTTTTTTGGCTATATTTATAAATTCTAATCCCCCGACAAAGCATTATTGTTATTAAAATAATAATAACACGTCACGCTCCACTGGTGTTTTCACCACCCTTAATCTGCAAGATGACTATAATTCTTGCTTGAAAACACTCATAATCAATTATAATTTTTGCTACTATGATGTACATCCTATTCTATTAAAAAAAATAGCAAATTTGATAAATTTACAGCTTTCAGTCTCATTGGCCAAAATTGGCCGGAATACATGGCTTATATACTGTTATACTTGCCTAAAAATTACTGGCAGAGATATCGCACCTGATTAATAAATTGCCGCTTTGTTTGTGTGTTGATTTTGAAAACCCTGATTTTTTCAGATTAAAAAATCCAATTTAAAATTTAAAAGCATTCTTATCAGAGAGTTTAGCAGTTCTCAAGAGTTTGGGTATTTGAATATTCATTTTTTGAGAAAAATGTACGGAACACCTTGCTTGACCTTCACCGAAACGCAATGCATGCTAGGTGTGGGTTGTGGTGACGTTACCCAGAGAACACATACGGTGATGCTATTGTGATTTGTGCGGCAACGAAGTGTATATTGCATTTATATTTCACTGGATTTGCCTTAATCTACCTTTGCTTTAATGATTTTTTGGCGGTTTTGGATATCACTCTGAACATTCTTTTCAGCTAGGCCGCGCTCAAAGAAAGGTGTGTACATCCAATTATATTGAATGTTGTTATCGTTGTTCAATTGTATGATAATAAAATTTTAAAGATTTTGATATATTTTGGGCTTTGATTCAGCAGAGCCCCTGATTTTTAGGTGTGTATTTTATCCTGTTTTGTTTATCGTCGATGTCGTTACGATATATACTATACAGGGTGTATCAGAAAAAACTAGAAGATTTTAAAATGTTCAGAAAACTATCATTTTATCAAGATATCTCAAAAATATATTTACGTCTAAGTATTTTAGCATCTTCTGTCTTATCTAACAGTAAAAACTAGCAGAAAAATTAACCTCGAAAAGCGGGAGAACGGTTTGTAAAAGCCTCATTTTTAACCGCTTGTGCAAAGAA